CGGCAGAGCCGAGTCGTCTGAGAGCCAAATAGTCCCAGAGTTGAATCGTCGAAGATCCGAGATAGTCCTGGAGCCGTGTAATCCCGGAGCCGAGTATTCCGGTGCCGAGTTGCGCAGAGCCGCGTCGTCCGTGTCCACAAAAATAGGGCCAACGAACTTTGGTGACCTTGAAAATGAAATATGACACCACAAAAATCGGATCTATGCACTTTGATGGCCTTGGAAATGAAATATGGCAATGACAACAAATGGCTTTATTGATGACCATTGATGACCTTGAAAGTGAAATAAGAGCAGAAGAAATAGGGGTGGCGAGCGACATTAAACGACGCAGGAACGGCCCTGTATTACTACTTTTTTGGGTCCACGGTCGTATTCCCTTTGAGTGTGAATAACTTGTGCTTTGTAAGATCGGAATTATTTTCCTTTAAATTTTTAGTGCATGTTTTGGCAAAAATACGCTTTTATATTCGTTATGTCTGGCTGGCTGGCTCTCCGGCTGAGATCTCAGTAATTACAATAGCTACAGACTTCAAATTTTCACTAAAAGCTTTCTACTATAGTGTAGATGTGCAGCCTCTAGTCTATTTTGAGTTAGATTACTTGTGAGATCGACCATTGAAGAAAATAATTTCGATATGGTTTTCGGAGGTGCTATAATTTTACCGTTAGATAGCGCTACCAGTATAACAACTTAATTATTAGCGCAATTTTGAAAAAAAGATACTATTATATTCGTTATGGCTGGATGGCTGTCCGGCTGAGATCTCAGCAATTACCATTGCTAGAGACTTTAAATTTTCACTAAAAGCTTTCTGTTATAGTGTAGATGTTGAAATTCGAGCGCTACTTAAAAATTTGTACAAAATAAGCGTACGATAGCGTTAACGTTTGCTACAAACGAGCGCTTCAAGGTCTGAGCTGAATCAAATTTCGCTTTTACAAATATTTAAACGACACTTAAAACAAAATAAAACGAAATTTTACCGAACGAAAATATAACGAAAAAACGACGTTTGTTCGATGATAGTTCTAAGCAGTAATTCCGCTTTCCGGCACGAAGATCTGAATTTTGTTGGACATTAAGGTCTTAGAAACTTTTTGTACTACACTCTATGAAGGTATAGTAATATTTTAGGGACAAACTTTTTACCTTTTGTGTTTTGTCGTTTGCAATCTTTACCCCATCGGCAGCTATAAAAAAAGAAGTGAAAGAACCGTTGAGGCTTGCTCGTAACGATAACCTTTGCGCATCGTAAATTGAGCAAACAAATCTTTAGTCACCACGGTGACGATTTTCTCTCCGCAGATATTTGTAACGGGAGCCCGCGAACGTATATTCTCTATTTTAACTTTGAAAGCATTACTTAAAATCTGTGTGGAAGCTCCCTGGTAGTTTGATGGATTGGAATAAATAATAATAAAGAAGTCCGCAATACGGACGAACGCGGAAATTAAAAAAAATTAAAATTCAAAACCTACTTAATACTGTGATAGAACCGAATTAGCCCGCTAAAATTCGATTTAAATATTCCCGAAACCGACCCTGGCGCGACGTAGAGGTCAAGATTGCCTTTGTTTCGTTTCCGTGGAACACGTGTTTTTTTTCTTCTCTGCTCTACATTGAAATGGGCCATAATTTACAATAAAAGTGTCAAATATTACGCTATGCGAGCTATGCGAGGAAACTTAATGATCCGTATCGACCCGTCTCGAGGCACGTTCGATATTAAGATTTGTTTTCGTCTAGGATTTGCCTAGAAAGGGGAAATTTAGGCAGAAGTATGTGTGCTTTTGTTGAGAGCAGAAGTAAATCTTTACGTTGCGAATAGTGAGTGCACCTTCGACAATTACAAAGGTGATGTACTCGTTTTATTTATCTCTATTACGTCTATTGCATCCCTCTAATAACGATATGGTCGTGTTCAATTATTTGCCAATTTAACTTTATCGTACAGCATTGATTATTTCCATTTATAACACATTCCAGATACAAATTGCAGTTTTAATTATACTGGGCCTACTGGGTAATTACTGACCGATTTACGTGTTTTTGTTTATATTTAGATACTGTATGTTCCCTTAGGGGCGATACCCAATACAAGTATGCAGAACTACATTTTAATTTATAATTGAATTCATTGCAGCACATTTTTTGTTTACCTGATTATGTTACTGTGTATTTACAGGGTGCCTCATCTGGGGCGAGTGACGTATGTTAGGTGGTTGATTGTTACATATTGCACTTGGCATTGTGAATTAATTACTTGATACTAATGTTTGCCACGACATGTTCCTTTGTATTGTTGTAATGTGTTTTCTTGTTGTGTCTTTGAAAAGAGCCTTCTTGCCGATATTGCTAATCAATTCGTTTAGTCGATTCCTGTCATGTAGTGATCGAATATTGGTTTTGTGTCAGTTTTTGTTATGCCAGTGCAAATATGTTGACTGTCAACGCCTACATAAATTGTGTATATGTTGTTTATAATTATGTATGCGTGCGAATTTTCCGTTGGTTACTCTGTTATTTATGTTATGTCATGACTTGTCTTTTGATCGGTTATTGTCAGTACTCATCGTAGACAGCCTGGAGTTCGGTAATTTATAACCCGGCATTTTAAGACTAGTAGGTTGGACTGGCCCTAGAGATGTCTGAATGAATGAGTTGGGGTCCCGCTTAGCCGTACATGATGGCGCTGGCTAGGCCCGGCCTCACTTGCGCAGGGATTCGCTAAAAGCGTGTGGCGTGTTCTCGTTGTGACCTTTTGTTTTGTTAACAATTTGGGGTATCCTTCCTATGTGAAAGACTCTTCTGAGAGGCCAACTCCTAGCGAGTTCATACAATGTTGACATGTCATGACCAGAGCAACTAAAGACTACTCGGTGTGGGATTTGGGCTGGCCATCCAATATCCAAACCTATTATATGAATTTATTGTAATGTTTTAATGATTGTTTTTGTTATGTGTGTGTAATATTTATTCTTTAGCAATTCCAGTGGAGCCTGGGATTCGACATTGTATTGCTGTACTTGACAACATGCATTCATGCCATTACAGATAACTAATTTTGCTATAAAGTTCAATATTAATTTGTTGGCTGGGTTTTTTCTTGGTCAGTTCTTTTTTTCCCAGCCTATTTTTATATATGTACTCGGTGAACTACCATTTTCTAAATTTAATTTTGCAATGCTAATTATTTGGATTAAATCTCCGTTTTTAAAGCATGTACTTGTTTTATTTGTAATCGTTACTTGATCCTCACTCCGACGGGCAACACATATCTTGTAGCGACTCTTAAAAACACAACGTAGTAAATGGTCCTATCTTTCGGTTATTCAGGTTAGGTAGCTTATCTAGACGATCACGTGCCATGGGGTTCAGTTAGTTTGGGAGGGAAAGTTTTGAATTTAAATCTTGAGTTGCGCAGTCTTTCGGGGCTGGCCTGGGTACACCACAATACTTTTTAATGAATTTAACTCTGACACTTGGATTAGGCAACAATATTTTGGATGCAACACACAGTGAAGCCTTTCCGCTACGAGCCAGGATCCAGAATCAGTAACTTTTGATTCCTTTACACGACTTCTAATCCACTTTTCCAAGGTTGGACGACTCAAGGGGTAGTTTTAGACGCGGTATGATTAAGGTAAAGTATATTTTTCTATTTGTAGGGAATACAGACAATTTTACTGGATTTGTCTGGTTGGAGTTTGACGTTGAAAGAGTAATTAGAAATATCCTTTAAAAATTCGATCAGGGATTGTTACCTGAGGTGTGGCGGATGGTTTGCAGATGTTCTCCGATTTACAAAGAAAATCTTTCAGAAGAAAAGGCCTACAGCTTTTTATACTTTTGGGATTCAATCACGAAATCCAAAGTGATACAAAACCAAAGACGCAATCTAATTACATCGCAAACATCGACTAAGCCGTAAATCAACAAATTAGATTTTGGCGGGTGGCTGTTTTTGTGCGTAATTAGTTTAGCACTTACTGGAAATACGAATCTCATTTCAAAGCGATATTAAGTAGTTCCGAATTTGCATTAAGTTAAACGAGGAAGTTATCGATCGCGAGATTACGAGAGCTACACTTTGTTAGCTTAACATATTTGAGCTATTACTCTCGATGGCACTGCAAATTTGGCTTAGAAGTTCAATTCGCGCGCTCCCCCATTATTTCGCGTTTGATGAAACACACAAGTTCGTATAGGCACTTTCAAGCGAACAATAAATAAAGAAAATCCTTGCGAATGTAGGTAAGAGAATAACCGCAAGCCAGTTATTAACGTAAACAATACACGTCTACAAAGTCAAAGCTTCCGCTCGACGCTCGCGACAAAGAAACGTCGAAATCTTGACGCCATAAAGAAACTTTTAAAGTGGCGAAAACACGCATACCAAGCATAGAGTGTACGTACATACGTACCTATTACGGTGAGTTCGTGGCTCTCAGTTTCCTTGCTAAATATTGGCGTTTCCATGGAGACAATGCACGAGTACGAACCTGATGCCGGAAAATCTAATTTTGACAGCTGAATTTGTTTTTCGCTGCTATGTTCTTTCTGAAAGGAAGGAGAATTTCTTTTAGATCAAAAATATGCTAAACTAACGCAGGTGATGGATAACCGAAGAACCTCCTTTACCTTCTAAAGGAGGCTTCTCGGGGTAAATTAAGTTTAGAACCTTTCACAATATGCCTTTCGTCTTCTTTTTGTATCTTCGACTAAAATCAATTTTTAGTTCGGCTTTCCGCTAATTAAATTCGAACTAAACGCGAAACTTAGTTTAGCCGCCCTAAATTAAATATAAATGTCGCAAAAGGACGACTAAATGCATGCATGCCCTGCACAATTTGCATTGCAAATATTTTGTTGCAGCTAA